GTCTTATTGTTCTGGCTAGGACTTCCAGTATTATTTTGAAAAGTAGTGGTGAGAGTGGACATCTTGTCTTGTTCCAGATCTTAATGGAAATGCTTTCAACTTTTCACCATTGAGAATGATATTGGCTGTGGGCTTGTCATATATTGCCTTTATGATGTTGAGATATGTTCCTGTATCCCAAGAATTTCAGGGGCCTTTATCATAAATGGATATACCACATTTTCTTGATCCACTCATCTGAATTTATGGCTATCAGGCAATAGGACTTGTTTTCTGTATTTTATTTGCAGTCATAAAGAACTTACAAGGTATAAATGAGAATGTCTTTCAAAGAAGTCTGCTCATTCAGAATTTTTTAATTTTGTCAATTACAAAGCCAAATAGTTCCATAAATCTTAGTAAAATAATGATCCCTGCCCCACTCCCTAAAGTAACCAGCTAAAATCTCACCGCTCTCCTCTTTATCTCCCAATTTCTAAATAGTATGCTTAAATTATACTACATGCTTTTAACTGCCTTTCATAAAAAAAGTTTCTTAAACCAAAGTTACAGACACATTCTTCCACTCTCCATTGTTAGCTTAATCATTATTCAGTATGTTATAGGTATAAAAATATTGCTAAATTCTTTAGCAATTATTATTGCTAAATAATAATTATTTATTGCTTTGTAACAAATTACTCCAGGAAACAGTGTTTTAAACAGCATTTATTATCTCATACTTTCTGTGAGTGAAGAATCTGACATGACCTAGCTGGTTCCACTAGCTTGGAATCTCTCCCAAGGGCACAATTAAGATATTAGTCAGGGCTTTAATAACCTCAAGGCCTGCCTGAAAAAGCTCTATTTACAACCTAACTCACATGGTTGTTTCCTGAAATCGGGTACTTGTAAGTTGTTAACTGAAGACATCAGTACCTTGCTGACTGCTGGTGCCCTCAGTTCCCTGCCACGCAGTTCACAACATGACAACTTTGCCTCATTAGAAAAAATAACCAGAGAGAGAGAGAGCAAGCAAGACAGAATTCATGTTCTTTTGTAACCCAGCTTTAGAAATAATACCTATCACTTTTGCCATATTCTAGTCATTAAAAGTGAATCTGTAGGTCTAGTGATCTTACACGCAGTAGGAAGCGATTATACAAGGGTATGCCAGGGGCCAGGCCTCACTGCCCATCTCAGAAAGCTGCTACAATACAAATGAACCATATAATATATTGATATTATAGTAATGTTTTTATATAACTGTAATAACTATGGAATTAATAACCAATTTTTTTTAACATTTCATTCTGTCTAGTCTGCAGTGTTTGTTTTCTACATCTGCTGAAAGCTGTTGTTCGAGGGCTTCCTTTTAACTATCATCCTGGAAATTTCCTTTGAATTTCTCTTCGTGGCATTTCCTGTCTTGAATCTTTGTAGTTTTCTGCTTTTCTTATTTACATTCTTATTTTGAATGAACACTTGTTCTTTTAACTTCCTGAGAAGAATTGCATGGTTCCATATAGAGTTCTAGGTTGGAGATCATTTTTCTTCAGAATGTTAAAGGTATTACACCATTGTTTTCTAGTCTCCAGTATTAAAATATCTGCTGTTGTTTTTATGTTTAGACAGGTACAACTTTGTTCTTTCTGAATGCTTACAATATAATTTAATGCTCTTAGAATATAATTTAAAATATCTATATTATACTATGTATAAATTTGTCTTTTTTATTTCATTTGCTGGACAGACTGAATCTTTTTAAGTCAGAAATTTAAGTCTTCAGATATGAGAAATTTTTTTGTAATATTTCTTTGATAATTTTCTTCTCTCAAATTATCTGTTTTATCTTCCAGGAATTCATTTTAGTTCTATGTTGGATCTCTTAGATTGAACCTCTATTTTTCACAAACACACACACATATATACACACACGAATGTATATATATGTATATTTTGTTATATCCACTAGTCATTTCTTTGGGATTTAGTTCTACCTGTAGATTTCCTTGATTTTTATTTTCCAACTCTCCTATTTAAATTTCTACTACATTTTGGGCCTCCCTGGTGGCACAAGGGGTTAAGACGCAACCTATGAAGCAATCCACAGCCACTGCAGCACAAGTTCGATCCCCGGTCAGAGAGCAACCCACATGGTGCAGCAGACCTCTCCTGACTCTCCCGCTGCTCCCCTCAGCAGTGTATTTCAGTCAGTCTGCCTGTTCTGTTTCCCAGTCTGTCTCTGGTGGATCCTCCCACCCCCCACGCCTCTGGCCTGTACCTCAGTTCTTGTATGCATAAATAAGTAAATCTTTAAAAAAAAAAAAAAAAGTAAAATTTGTATTACATTTTATTCATTTTTAACTTAATTCAATTTTTGTCATTGTTTCTTTTTTAATAGTATCCTATTTCAGATTTGCAAAATCTAATCTTACTATTCTAAGAATATTGACTGTAGTTGGTTGTATTTAAATTTAGGGGAGATTTTGCTTATTTTTGTACTGGTATTACTGTTGTTTTGTTGTTTTAGTTCTTCTTTAGTTCCTGTTTCTCTTTCTACTTTATAATTTTGTTCACTATCTGTCATAGAAGATCTTATATGTATCTTAGTCTTTGTTGTCCACACTGAAAGTTGTTTGGAAGCACTTGGGCCAGGGCTTATAAACTGATGGATTTTAAAGTAATTCAAAGGCAGCAATTAGCATTTTCACTGGGAAACCCCTAAAATGCAATAAGTATATGTAGAACTTTTCAAGTGGTAAATTTTTCTAAGGCAGCATTTTCTAATCTTTTGTCAACTTTGTGGGAACCATGTTGGAGAAGGAGACTGAAAAACCTTCTTACCATTTATAAATACTTAATAAGATACAGAAGCCTGAATGTGGGTATTAGAGAAAATCTAAGAGTCTTAATTGAACAATTTAAAAAATGTTAACCAGGTCTCTTTTCTGCAGTTCCACCCTATACCCATCCTCAGAAACAATTAGGACCTTCAATTCACAGGTTTTTCTGGGGCCCCACAATGCCAGAGGGTTTGCTGTTCTGATGGTAGCTCATCTACCCATTTCAGACGTGGCCTTCGGCTTTCTCTGACCTGAGTATCAGTTAACCCCTTGAGTTATGGGTAATTCATCCCACCTTCTAACATTTTAATTGAATCTCTCATTATCTTTTGTGACCTTCTTCCCATTTTATTTATCCTTGGGATTTGATTTTTATTACTCTGCTCTCATATTAATAATGCTTTAAGAGACAAAAAAGAGAAAGTGTAATCCTTTTGCACTCCAAAAGAAGTCTACAAGTTTTTATAATTCCTCATCTGGAATTGCCTTCACAATTTATCTATATACCCTGGAAATACTTATTTTCTGTCTTTCTTTCTTTACCCCTTCATTTTTGCTGCTGGTAACTTGAAACAATAACCCTGACTCCTCAGAGAGGGAATTGCTGCTGATACTGACCCAGCACTAAGAAATCATAGGCAAGGGACTCAGGAAAGGACATAGGTTTGTATGATGGGAACATTTTACAAAGTGCATCAAGAAACAAACTAATTCAAACTCACGTGTGTGATGCCTGCCTGTGGTAAGTGGGTGTAATGGACAGAACCATAAGTGTAAATGCCCTACTTTGAATAACACTGCCTATGTATTTGTAATTTAGCTGTTTAATGAGTCCAGAGAAGAGTTCTTGGATGCATTAACAATGTCTGAGGAATATAGTTCTCAAAAAGCTAGTTTTAATGATAATCATACTTTTCCTTTAAGGCTTGCAGTTATATAATATTGAGAGTAGACCCAGAAACAAACAGTGAAGGAGACCTTTAAGTAAATCTAAACTACGACCCCCACAGGTGTGTGCCATGCTATTTAATTGCTTTGAATAACAGTGTGATAGCTGATAGCAAGAAGCTATAGCCCTAAGTCAGTTCCCTATCACCAGAATCCTGGATATATCTCACACCAGTTGGTTCCTAGAAAAATGAGTCATCAACTCAGCAATGGTCTGGACTGGGGGAAGTTAATTAGAGTAAGTCTGATTTAAAATAACTGTTCTGTTATACCCACAAGGCAAAAAATTATTTCTACTGTTCTTGTTAAAAATAAATAAAATTACTATTCCAGGCCTAAGTTAACTGAAAAATCCATGATAGAATATTGCTCCATTTTGGAAACTTAAAATAATGCTAGCATCTCCCAGTTTCTTTCTAATTAATAAGGAATCTCAGTGCTCTTTGAATTGAATTAGATTCTTCTGACTTATATTTTGAGCGCTGATTATGAATCAAGCCCAGGGAATCAAGTATTTCATTTTCTTGCAAAAGTTAATTTATGAGAAATGCCTATATTTTGATGGGATGTTAGTTATATTTCTTAAAACCTATCAGCCTTTTCACATAAAATTTATATATAGTTATATATAAATTATACCCCAATCAGTTGATTTTAAAATTTGAATATCTTAGAGATTTTACAAGGCTTTCTCCTACTTAAAATTATTTCATGGGATATGGTGACTAAAAGCTATAAAAATTTTGCCTCTAATAAGTCATTTGACTTGGAGTTCTGTAACCTCTCTTAAGCTTTAATCCTCTGATATGTATAACTGAGCGTTTAACAATACTTCAGAGTATTGTGAGGATTAAAATGTGTAAAATATATAAAAACAAACAAAAATGAATTCATAGATACAAATAGTTAGCTCAAAATGCATCATAAACCCCTATATAAAAGGTAAAACTACTGGGAAAAAAACAGGAGAAAATATTTGAACTCATGGGGTAAGCAAAGATTTTTTTAATATAAGACACAAAAAGCACAAAACCTAAAAGAAAATAAAAGATAATTTGTATTTCATCAGGAAAAAAAAAAGTTTTAGATGCATATGAAGTACTTAGCACAATACCTGGCACATAGTAGATCCTCAGTATATAGTAGCTTCAAATTATTATTAATATAACAATTTCTACCCTATACATTGTCATTTCTCCTTTGATTTTTTTTTTCATCCTTTCACAGAAAATCCATACAGACAACTGCCGTGTAACTGTCATGGAAGCATGCCCGGGAAGACAGCAATAGAACTTGGACCTTTATGGTAAGTGCCTTAGCATAATAATATATTCAAAATTGATTTGAATGCAAACAAGCAAATTTAGACTGGTGTAGGTCTAGACAGATAATTATGATTCCTCTCCTGTAAACCTGAGGTGTTTTCAGTGTTCAGATTTCCTATGCCATTATTCTACCAAGTTTATGACAGTGGTAAGAGGCAGTGAGATCAGAGAAGCCTGGCTGATCTGCAAACTAACCATTTCTTTTGTCAGTTGATAATTATAGAACTAGGAAATAATTGTGATCACAATAACATTATAGAAGAATTAACTAATATAAGTTGTCTTCGAGGTATTAGTTTTCTTTGTGTGTGTGTATGTTGGGTTTTTTTTCCTTCAGATCAAGGAATTAGTTTTAAGTGAGAAGAGTAAGTGAAAGGAAATGTCTGCTTTTGTTTTAGGTAAAGCTGTTTGATGACACACAAATGCAAATATTTGATGGAGTTGAGCTTTTGCATTACTACCAGTTAGTCACTATGTTTTTAATGTTCCTGCTGATGCCCAAGGTGTGCTTTTCATCTCATCTGAATATGCTTAGATTAAGAATGACCTAATGAGTCTTTCTTGCTGGTGCTCTTACCTGTATCATTTGCTACACATTGATCCTACTCACTGCTCAGAACTAGAGAAATTACAAATATAACTTGTTGTTGGATCTAGAAGGAAAATCAAGCCCAACTCTCTTGTTTTACAGATGAGAAAACTGTGGCACAGTATTTTTAAGTGCTTGCTACAATTGAGCCCCCAAAATTAGCACAGGCAGGACTTGGCTCTCTTAAAACCATTGCTCATATACTTTACTCTTGTCGGGCACAAAATAAATAAGCCTATTCCCCTCTGGATTTTTCTTGGACTGGATAAGTAATCAAAACAGTAGCAAATGGGTTAGCAAAGGATAAATGATCAATTTAATAACATCTGCATGGAGAATTCACATGGTTATAAATTCTGAAGAATAATGGGGCACACCAGGAATATTTATCCTGCATTTTAGAACCTGGGACATCAAGGACAGAGACAGGGAGACTTCTTCATATGACATCCTTACTCAGACAGTACAGATGAGATTCTTGGATAGAACATGTTTACTGGTTAACCTAGAAATAGATGAGCCCCCCAGACTATATTCTTCTAAGTCATTAGAGGGAGACCAAGGATTATTTCTTCGATTAGGAAAAGGACAGAGGCTTAGGACATACTGATCTCTTTGATTTGGGAATGGCAAACTTAGGCAAGAATATAAGCTTCTCTTATCCTTCAAGACCTTCACTGCTCTCAACCTAAATCAGTCTGCATTCTTTAAGTAGTAGTAATAAACAATTTGAGGCTCACAGAGCTTTAACTGACCCCTAGTTCTCATATCAAATGATAAGGTCTATTCTGGACCTATATTTTTTTAAAGATTTATTTATGCATACAAGAACTTGAGTACAGGCCAGAGGTATGGGGGTGTGGATGGGTGAGAGGATTCACCAGAGACAGTGGGGAACAGAACAGGCAGATCGACTGAAATACACTGCTGAGGGGAGCAGCAGGCGAGTCAGGAGAGGTCTGCTGCGCCATGTGGGTAGCTCCCTGGCCGGGGATCGAACTTGTGCTGCAGTGGCTGCAGATAGCTTCATAGGTTGTGTCTTAACCCCTTGTGCCAACAGGGAGGGCCCTGGGCCTTTTTTTTTATTATTATTTTTATGATTTATTTTATTCAGATATTTTATCTCTTCCAGACTTTTTTAAAGAAGTAATCTAAAATAGTCTTTATTTTTGTATAGTTTCATGTATTTGAAACTTTAGCTAATTTTTTTTTCTGACAGTGGAAAATGGTGAAATCATTGATCCTGAGTTATTTTTTTCTTGTTTTGTTTTACTTGCATTGATCACTTGCCTGCAAAACCCTCTACCTTGTCTTCCCTGAGATTTGTAGCTGCCTCTACTATTGAGACAAGTCTATCTGACCCTTTGAAGTGATTCCACCCCACTCTCTCATCCAGATTCCTTTTCCCCATTCTCACCTCCAATTCAAATTCTACATCCTCTTTGAAATCACTCCTTAATGCTTCAATACAAAATAATCTCTAAATTCCCCTTGAGTAAATATTACATTGATCATTCAACACTTTATTTTTGCCATTTCTGCTTGTCCATTTGCATACCTTCTTTTATTTATTATATATTTCCCACCACCATCCCTTATATACCCTTGTACCTTTCTCTCCCTTCTCCCTCTTAACCTGAGTATTCACTTGGTATTTATTGATGTCCACTGGTTTTTGTTACACATTATTAAATTATCTATGTAAATGTCCAGTATTGTTCTTATTGTTTGCTTTGCTTTACTAGACATAATTCTCTCAAACTCCCTTCATTTTACTGAAAATGGCTGCATTTCATCCGTTCTTATGGTGACTGCATAGTAGAGTATGAATATACCATACTAATCCAGTCATGTTGATGGGCATTTTAGGCTTCTTCCATGTCATACATCATGTAAATAATGCTGCTCTGAACATTGTGGAACAGGAATTTTGAGCTGATGATTTTATGTTCTTTGGATATATGCCCCAAGAGTGGGCCTTGCTGGGTATTTCCAATTTTGGTTTTTTGAGGTTAGTCCAGATTGCTGACCATAATGGTTTTAACAGTTTATATTTGCCCCCAACAGTGTATAATAGGATTGATTCCTTTTTCCCCACATCCTCTCCAATTCTTATTGGAGGACTTTTTGATTTATGCCATTCTCACAGTTGTGAAATAGTGTATATTGTGGTTTTAACCTGCATCGCTCTTAGTGGAAGCGATGATGAACATTTTTTCATATGTCTATTAGTCTTCTGGATATCCTTTTTGGTGAATTGTCTCCATATCTGCTGCCCATTTACTAATTGGATGGGTTTTGTTGAATTGTGAGTTTTTTAATATATCTTAGATATTAACCCCTTATCAGTTATATAGTGGATATCTTTTTAATTGTCTTGTATTTTCTATCCCTCTATATACAGACATTCACTCAGTTTTTTATCTACATTACTCCATTTATGTGTTCTCCAGCATTGTCTTTGCGCTCATAATTCTCTCCATTTTTCTGTTGACTGTTGGCGCCCTCAATTTTTTTTTTTTAATTCAGCTATAGTGTTTTAGTGCCATTAGTTTTCACTGCATCTGCCTCATGCTTTATCTTTACTGTTACTGTTTTATCATTTGGTTGTTGTTTGAGTTCCGTACGCTTTGTTAGAGCTGTTACCTTCAACTCTTCAGTCATTTCTACAGATACGCTAGATTGAGAGTCCTCTCTGGGTGTCTTTGTTTCAGGAGTTGTGGTATGTTCAGCATTTTTAACTTTTATGGACTGTAATAGGGATAGACTTCCAGGCTGTTGACTTTACACCTTTACAGTAGTAAGAGAACTGGCACCAGTGAGGAATAATAGGTATAAAAGAGGACTGGGGCTGTGGACTACCAAAGGATCCACCTCCAGTATCAGGAATGCAAGCTTCCTACTGTGGCGCAGATACCAGAGTTGTGTGGTAGCTGTCCACAGTGAACCCCTCTAGTCAGTTCCTCGATCTTAATGTCTTTTAGACTGTGTCCACTTTCACTCTAGGCTATTTTTGAGCCCTAGATGTAGCACTTGGCACAGACTGTGGTTGATATGGAGTCAGTAGTTTGATAAGTGAGATTATAGTTTGTATGAAGTTTTTCTTTTCCAACACAAAACATTATCTGGAGTATTTGCCCTTGTTATTAACAGGCACTTGACCTCTAGTTTATTCAAGTGTTCCTTTATTGTTTTGATTTTAGGCCTGGGGTGGAGGGTGGTAAGTGTTTTCTTGGCTTCAAGTATTAGCCTCTCTGAGAGGTAACACAGGTCATCCAGTCTGTTACTCCCCACCAATTCAGGTTGAAACTGCTCTATTGAGAGCCTCAAGCTCAAGCCATTAATCCTTGCTCTGCACCCCAACCTCTGCAGTTCATCCTCATGTCCTGAGTGCAAACGCTGGGCATCTCTTACCCAGTGCAGTATTAGGAGTCTCCAATATTGGTGGGTGCTTGAGTTAGTAACTGTAGGGTCTCTACACAGTAGCTGCCCCTCCAATCTTTGTGGGTTGTATTGTCCCAGATCACAATAGACACACGTGATTTAAAATTTTTCTTACCTCTTTCTGCTGGACCATTGCTTGTACTGTGTGCTGTGGTTGTCAGTTTTTCCCTCCGAGGTTTTTTTGACTTTGTTCTGCTGCAGTCTAGTTATGAGTATATGAAGGAAGCAAGTCCAGGGTGCTTATTCTGCCACCATCTTGCCAGAATCCTCATTCAGTGCTTCAAAGTACTATGCCCTTTTTCATATATACTTGCTGAGCCTAATAATAGAGGTCACTTACTGAGGATATACTTTATATACTAGGATATGCTTGCTATCTCATTTAATTCCTTAACAGTCTGAAAGTTTTTATTTTTCATTTGATGATGAGGAATATGAGACTAAATGCAATAATTACTCAGGATTACATCGCTTACATGCAGGGTGTCAGGATGGGATCCAGGCTTATCTGACTAGGAACTTCATATTCTGTTCATTATAGCTGTTTCTCTTAAGTGGGAAGCACACCATACTCATCCCAGTGCCCTTTTTTAAATCTGTATCACCACCACTACATGTAATTGTCATGTGCCTCCCCCTGTAAAACCTGACCATATACACACTGAAGTTAAGATGCACTATTACTGACTGGAATGTGCATTGTGAAAGCCTCTGCATTTACAGTATGTCCCTGTCTAAAACATTGTATTTTATATTTTGGTTTATCTGCCACACCTGTGTACAACAGAGCTGTACTCCTTATGAGGAGTACTCAATTAAATTGTTACTGATTTGCTGGGAATGAAGTTTCTTCTACTACCCACCAGCTCATAACTGAATTAAGAGTGGGTGGTAAATAGAAATAAGTAGAAATAAGCCATTTTAACTGAATTCACATATTTTTAGCTTCAGTATTTATTGTATCCTATAATCTTGTTTACTTGCGCGTAAAAGTACCGAGACTTACTTGTTTTAACAAAGTATTTCTCAAACCCAGTTCTCTATACTTTCTTATTTTAGGTCAAGTTCCCTTTTCAATACTGGATTCCTCAAAAGAATGTTGTTTGAATCTCTTCATCATGGTTTAGATGACATTCAGACCCTAATAAAGACATTAATCTTTGAATCAGAGTGTAGTCCACAATCTTCAGTTCACGTATCTTCTAATCTCAACAAGCAAGGTGACTAATTGAACGCTGGTTTACTAACTTATTTATAAATTGGTTATCAAAATATTTTTTATTTGGTATTATAATCAGAAGCAGTATAAGTTAGAATATTAAATAAATCTCTAATGAGTGTAATCATAATTCTGTTAACTATTTTTTTAATTGCAAAAGTTTGTATTTAGGACCTGAAATAGTTATTTTATAAACATTATATATACACTTAATTTTAGTAGATTAAAAATTGAACTAAAAAGCCCACTGTGATTACCCTAGATTTGACAGAAAGGGAAACCTTGTAATTCTAAGAGTGAGTAGTGTGGCCTAAAATTTTTGTAATACCCATAAGAAACAGAAGTTAGATTTATATTTTTACTCAGTCAAACTACATTTTTTTTCCTTTATCTGTTGTATGAAGATTTTTGTATTCTTAGCTATTGATATAACGGTCCTTGCATTCTCATACATCATTAGAAAAAGAAGGCATTTAGAGGTTAAAAACCTCAATTCTTACAACTTGTTCTGACTTATTTTTGTAAAATAAGTCAAATAAGAACTTATTTTTGTAAAAGCAGTCTCAAGAGAATTTAGTAAACTTTTATTTAAACTGAATTGTTGCCTAGTGACATTTTGTAAAATACTTTGATATTTCCATTTGTTTTAATTTCAGAAGAATATGGTGTATTTATTAAAACTACAGATGACACCATAACAGATTACATTGCACAAGGTATGTATGTATATATGTATTTATATTTACTTATGTATTTGTCAGGCTAAACAGACAGGTAACAGAAGGATCAGAAAAGGGATTGCTTTGGAGTCATATATCAAAATGCATTTCCATCACATTTTACTGAAAACTACAGTAAAACTTGTTTATCGGGTATGAGAAATCAGAAATTCTTTGAAGAACCATGTGAACCAAAATATGGTCAGATTATACCTTATAAAGTTATAGCTAAAATTCAGTTTTATTCTAATTCTTTTAAAAATTTTCACAATATGATTTATAAAAATTCCATTGATTAACCAAAAGACTCTATTCTCTAGCCATAATTTATTATTTGGCCTTTTATAACTTGAGATGTGCACATACTTTAAAATATGTTTGAGGCATTATAAATTTTTGTCAAAAGGATATTAAGATTTAAAACATCAGTGCCTTAATGTATAAGGTTTTGTTTTTTCAAAGACAACTTTAGATAGCTCTTATTCTCTAAGACTGCCTGCCTGCCTGTATCTATGCAGTCACCTCTCTCCCTTTCCTTAATAAACTTGCCATATGCATAAAACAGCTTTAGATTCTAAATGTTTTGAACATAGGTGAAAATATGATTGTAGGAGTGTTACAAGGTGAAAGAACAGAAGTTTATAATCGTAAGCTGTAGTTTTCTATTACTTGAACATTTTAGTGTTACTCTTCAAAGACAAGAAAACTTCAACTCCTGCTAATCATATGGTTTAATAAACTACTGAATGCATTTTCCCAACAACATCTTCATTTGGTATCTTCAACTAATTTGCTAACATTCAAATCATGGTATTTATTCTAAGGAAAAGGCGTAATGGTATATACCATAAAGAGATTTAAGTGCCTCATTCTACTGTTGTTTCTGTGTAAGAGCCGGCCGGGCCCTCTCATTTGGCAGTCTCATCTTAAATCCTTTTTAGAATAAGGCGAAACAAATTTTGTAAATATTTAAAATCTAACAGGGGTCCTGAGTTATTTTTTATATAAAAAGGCAATAGTTCAGCAATAATTTACAATTATCTGTGAATGCAGTTTATCATTTTCAGCATCAAAGGATGCTAGCTTTCACTTAAAATGGGGAGACTTGAGTACTTAAAAAGTAGGCAGTGACATTATAACAGTATATCTTTTAAATTTCTGTATCCAAACCCTTCAGCCCTTATTTTGTCTGTTTTTTGCTTTTTACTCATTGAAAACTTACAGTATATCAAATGTCGGTATTCTGGCTAGAAAAGTTCAAGCCTAAATGAAGAACATTATCCCCAGGGATTTAGAATACGATTTGCGAAGAAAGGAAACATTAAAAAATCTGTATACTTGAAACAAAAAAAAACGTCAGGACACAATGAAATTTAGTATAGTATTGACAGCAACAAAATCTCTCAGAGGACTGGCCCAAAATTCATAAATGGCTTTCTGCAGATGGAAATAGTTGAAGCTTGAAATTCAAGAAGGTAGAAGTTGTGGTTCTGTAAACAGTTAAAATGAACCCTTTGCACTCCGAACCATTTTACGATATTTTGATTTAATTTCTTGTGCCATTTCAAGATAAAACTTCAGGGAAACATGCATGTCTCAAAAAGTTGCATTGAAATAACCTCAATTCCCCGTAATCACTAATAAATTGCAGTGTCCCCTGAGAGGGGACTTCCGAGTGATATGCTAGAATTCCAATGTCCCCTGAGAGGGGACAGCGGAGTGCAAAGGGTTAAATGGATGAAGGATAGTATAAATTTCAAGAATAAAGTCTTTTTTTTTTTTTTAATTTATTTTATTTTTATTTGTTTGTTTTGTTTATACAAGCACTGGGTACAGTCAGAAGCGCGGGGGGGTGAGAGAATTCACCCGAGCCAGAGCGGGGAGCAGAACAGGCAGAAGGACCGAAGGACACTGCTGAGGGGAGCAGCGGGCAGCAGGAGAGGTCTGCGCGCCATGTGGGACCCTCCTCCGGTGGCCGGGGAGCAGCCGGGGATCGAACCAGCACTGCAGAGGCTGCGGGCAGCTTCGCAACCCAGCGCTCAACCGCTGCGCCACCGGGGAGGCCCAAGAATAAAGTCTTACAAGAAGAATTGTAAGAATTAAGATAGGATAGGTAGATGTGTGTCCAGAATTATAAAATTAGTTTATACTTGAGAATGCTAATTATATATGTGTGTGTATGTATGTGTTTCAGGAAAGAGAAAAAGTAATGAAACAATCACAAACTTAACCAAGAGGCAAAAGAGTGATGTCAGTACTGAACACCCGCCCTTTTATTACAACATTCACAGACACAGCATTAAAGGAATGAATATGCCAAAGTAAGGCAGCCAGTGAATGGCACCAATGTTTTTATATTCTAATGAAATAATTTAAATATAAGTGCAGCACCTCACTGTTTTCTCCTTTTCCTTCCTACAGGTTAAAAAAGTTTCTGTGCTATCTTTCTCAAGCAGGCTTTCGAGTAAGCCGAACTCATTTTGACCCAATGGGTGTTCGTACAGACGCACCTCTGATGCAGTTTAAATCTATTCTTTTAAAATATAGCACCCCCACCTACACTGGAGGACAGTCTGAGGGCCACGTCCAATCAGCATCTGAAGATACAGTAGCTGACAGGGTTGAAATGTCAGTGAATGACAAAGCAGAAGTAAGCAGTTGCAGAAGATGGTAAACAGGAGTGCATATGTGTATAGATAACCAAACAGTTCTCTATACCAACTGTAGTTTGTTTTTTATTCTTTCAAGTCAGTGATGTAAAAATAAAAAAAAGAAAACCATTGCTGTTTTCTTTCAGAAAATTAGCAGTTTCTAACTTAGTTGGTTTGGGAGCTGTGCTTTCCAAGTTTTTCTTATTTTAAAGAAAACAAAATTTTAATGAAAACATTTCATAGGGAGTCAAGTTAATGACTGAGATCACCCTACTGTTTAATAACTCAGAAAATTTTCATATGTTAAGTGTTTGCAATTTTATATGGTATAGAAGCCATCCTTTACTATTCTTAATCACATCTCTACTTATATTGATTTCATGGTATTTTCTTGTTTGTAGCATACAAAATGAACCTAGAATATTGTACCATACTAAAATGACCCTGAATATAACAACAATTTGTCTTTTCAGGTCACTAATATATTTTGCAATTGCAAAGCTAAAATAATTGTTTTAAGAAACCACACCTCTCCATAAATTGACATTTTTAATTTATTACTAGCTTTTTTGAAAACTTAAATACTTGCCTGGGATAGAAATACATTTTAAGTGTAAGCTCTAGATGACTAAACTTCAGAGTAAGGTTTTGTCAATGTAAATTGAGACCATTGTTCTCTTATAAAAATTGTTCACAAGCACTGAAGTTCTGAAAAGATTTTGTTAAACAAATCGGGTGATCTCAAGTGCCTCAGTTATTTAATGCACGAACAATATTCATTTGCTTGGTTGTGCTACCTCTCAGAAGTAAAACTTGTTACCTTATTAATTTATGAAGTGAAGATATCTTGGGCTTGGGGGTTTTTTGGGTTTTTGTTTTTTTTTTTTTTTTTTTTTTTTTTTTTTGGTGTGTGTGTGCTAATTTTTTGATTAAGTTACCCAGGCCAACATAACTGAAAATGAGTTGGAAAAAAATCTTTTTTCCATTAATAAATACTGTTCTTGCCTCATTTGAATATAAGATTTTGGATAAAAGGATTTGCTATAAAGCTTAGATTTTTGTCTCAAGGATTTTATCCAAATTTACTTTAAAGTATTTCTCAGGGGAAGTAACTTTTTAACAGCCATTAAGCTTGGGGGTTGGGGTATTTGTAGAGGGGGTTGTAACTGAAAGGGCTAAATACACATTAAAAAAAACACTCCCATAACAAAATACCAGAGAGTGAGATTTACATCAAAATAGAATATTAAATTAGTAGAAATCAAAGAAAACCTGTTAGCATATTACTAACAGGATATTTTTCTTTACTGAATAGGAGCATACATTTTAGTTAAATGAAGGAATGCAAGTTAGTTTCTATGACCATTAAAAAAAATTCTTGCCAGTTAAAAAATTGTAACTCACCAATAAGCACAAAAGGATTTTTTTTGTTTTATGATTAACAAGAAATTTTCTGTAAATCCAGAGGGCAAACAAGCACTTGGACAATCTAATACATTTTGTTAAATTATCAGTCTCAAATTTTACTGAATACCTATCAACTTGGCATATTTTGATCAGTGATGAAGTGGGTTTTATGCCAGGACCCTAATTTGGTATAGAAATTTGTCATGTAACTATTACTTAAAGCGTGCGTATACATGCATTTTCACATACGGGCTATCACCTGAAGAAAGTTGGGTAGAAAGCGGTTTGAAACTGTTAAGGTACTGTATCAACCCAAAGAGGAAATATTTTCAAGACTTCATCTAGTTCTGTTAGCACTTTGTTCCCACAGTAGCAGTAACTTGGGACACTGCCAGTGTTGACCACATTGTAACATCACTGTCTGGCCATTAAAATTTGAACACTACAAGTTCTTACTTTACAGTCAGGAACTAATGTGTTACTAGCTGCTTACATTAATAATCTAACCGTACACAGAGAAATGCAGTAAACAAGGGATGGGTTTAGTGGCCAATGCAGTGGATTTGTATTAAAACTCCATTTACCACCTGCTTCCGTAAGAATTCACTCTGAATAAATACATGAAGTTCTGGTTCCCCAGAAATTAGAACTCAAGACCAGATGAGTTATCCCAGTTGGTCTAGGAAAGTCTCCTTGTGTAATTGCTATGGTAAATGGCCTCAAGTTACTTTGGAGAAGGCTAAAATAAGTAATTGACTTGGGGTGTTCTGACAGGGTCCTTTCTCAAAGGGTTCCTGGTATGTGAGCTAAATCAGGACTGGGAAATAGGTATTAAAAATTCCTGTGTCTTAATGTCCATTTCAACTGAAGCATCTCCCACTGCCATCCCCTCCAAGGTTAAGATTGTTGTCTTCGTTTCTTGTCCTTGGCTTGGGCATGCATACAGCCTTAGCACATCTATTTGGCCTTTTAGATTCCCAGGAATACGCTGGAACTTGTCAAAGCCCTCCACAGATAAGTCCTTCCTCAACTATTCCTTTTGGTTTTTGGTCAGCTTTTTAGCCCCAGCAGTATCGCTGCTTTACATAGTTGCTTTGTAAAACAGTTGCAGATATCTTTGATAAACAAGATCAATGAATATAGAGCTGTTTGCAGAGTACAGCGAGTCAGGTTAAATAAAACAAGTTCTAAGAATAGAGCTTTTCAGTGATATGCCAGACAAGTCAAATAATGGCAGTTCTCCAGGGTGACCTTTTTGGCTGTAAGGCTGCTGTTTTTCACAACTACCATAGTTTTGAAGCAATTTGTTTTTCCAGGATATCCTGGAACTGAGGGAAGGAGGATAGGACAATTTAAAAAAGCTACAGAACACTGTTTACAGTTTTTATTGAAAATTGCTTTTCACATTTTTTGGAAGTCTTGAATTAATTTTAGAGTTCTGAAAAAGTTGATTTTGACAATGTTTAGTGTACTCACTCCTTTTATGGAAGAGCAGATTTTCAGAGGTTCTTATTCCGCTAATCCAGAGAGTTGTCAAAGAAGTTTTTACAGTTAAAACTACTTGATATTAAGAACTCTTGTTTCTAAGATTTTGAAAAGCAAGTATTTCTACGTAGAAATAGGATGGAAATTTGTAAGAGGTCCCTCTATCTCATTGGGCATTTCAACTCTTTCTTGTTTAGTTATCCAAGACAGCATTCTGAGCCTCAGTTTTCTCAAACATAGAAAGGAAACACTGTCTTCCTGATAGGGTTTAGAGGATTTAAAAAATAATGTAAAACTTACTACAGAAGTACAGTAATCAAAATAGTGTGGTAATAGCAAAGTCAGTCACACAGACTAGGAGTACACAATCCAGAAATAAACCCTCACATATACGATCAATTTTTGAATAAGGCTGTCAAGACAGTTCAGAGAAGTACAGTCTTTAAAACAAATGGCACTGATTACTGGATATCCAAATGCAAATGAACAAAGCTGAGTCTATCCTTTTTACCATATACAAAAGTCAAATGGATTAAATACTTAAAGAGCTAAAACGAACCCTTAAGAAGAAAATAGGAAATTTTCATGACCACACATCTGGCAATGACTTCTTGGATGGAACACCAGAAACACAACAAAGGAAAAAGTTGACCAACTGGACTTCACCAAAATTTAAAACTTTTGTACATGAAAGGTCACTACTGAGAGAATGAAAAAGCAACCCTTAAGAATGGGAGAAAATACTTGCAAATCATGTATCTGATAACAGATTAATACCCAGGACACATAAAGAACAACTAAAACTCAACAAAAACAATCCAATTAAAAATGGGGAAAAGAGTCGAATAGACATTTCTCCACAGAAGATCTACAAATGGAAATCATAAAATGAGACTTTACACCCATTAGGATAGCTATTGAAAATAACAAGTGTTGGTAAGGCCATGGAGAAAATGAAATTCTCATACACTGCTAGTGGGAATGTAAAATGGTACAACCACTGTGGGAAACAGCGTGGTGTTCCTCAAACAGAATTACCATAAGATTTCTCTCCTAGGATGTATTTAAAGCAGGGACTCAGATTTTATATGTCACAACATTATTCACATAGCATGAAGCGGCCATCAACAGATGAATGGGTAAACAAGAAATGTTAAATACATATAATGGAGTATTATTCCAGCTATTAAAGAAGAATGGAATTCTGATAAATGCTACAATATGTATGAATCTTGAAAACATGCTATGTAAAATAAGAAAGACACAGGGCAAATGTGATTCCGCTTACACGAAGTGCTTAAAACAATGTAATTCAAAGAGAAAGTAAGAGAGATTATAAGTAGAATAAAAGGTTGAGGAGAAGAGGACCTGGGGAGTAGCTGTATAATGAGTACAGAATTTGTGTTTGGCATCATGAAAAAGTGCAGGAAACAACGGTGATAGTTATAAAACACTGTGAATGTACTTAATGCCACTGAATTGCACACTTAAAAATGGCTAAAATGATAAATTTGGTTATGTGTAATTTACCATAATAAATCCGAATGTATTCCAGGGGCCTCACCACATCTGGCAAGCCTTTTGTCATTTAGTTGAGATGGTGGCTACAGAAGTTACTTAATACTTTATGAAACCTTGGTTTGTTGTGATGGTAGACAGTACCCACCGCCCCCCCCCAAAAAAATACATACATGAAAACACACACACACAACACTACACTCAGTGCTCTATCAAACACCTATAATTATATTTTGCGAAGGGTTACACATCCAATGACTTCAGTGATGATGCAAAGCATTTACATCCTCCCATACTGACAGATAAAAACACAATGTTCTCTAAGCACAAAGCTTATATTCACAAATAACTTTTTGCTTAAAGACAAAATTTCAATTAATAGTCACAATGAGAATTTAGTTATTTAATGCAAATACTAATCTAATGTCACCAATAAAATCTAAGCAGTTTTATCACAAAACCAGGATTATATTCAGTGGACATGCATTAATAATCTATACAACTTAACATTATACCAGAAAAGGAATTGAATACAAAATTTCCCTTGATTTTTGGTGGTTTTCAAATTTCATGGCACAGATTACAAAAAAAAAAAAAAAAAAAAAACCAAAAACTTATAAAAACAGATTTTAAGTATTTTCAATAAAATGGTAAAAAATTTAGTAAGTCTTAAAAGTTTTTATACTGTGCTGGACTGAAGATTTGAAACCAAGCTGGCCCCAATCTGTCAAAAATGACAGGTAAATATTCACAATGAGTAGAAAGGCTTTAGTTATACTGGAGGACCACTTCCAGCAAAAACCCTGTAGGGTTAACTACTCAATGCAAACATGTTTTTATAAATACTGTGATAATATAAACTTAGAAACATACCTTGAAATCAGGACAGGGATGGGAAAAACAACACAAGTCAATCTTATTTCTGACCTGTCATCATAAATCCTTCTGGATCCAAATACCCAACACTGTCCTCAATATTTAAGTAAATTAGGAAGGGTAGAATGACTTCACCCTACCGACTGACATTCTTCTATAGAATTATCTTTTACTACATATCAAGGCAGGGCTCAAACTCCATTAACTTGCTTCTCTAGAGTGTAATTAGCAGAGCACCAAATTTATAAATATATATATGGCAACCCAAAATGCTAATAAACACATTTTTCAAACAGATGCAAGCTTATTCCCCATTGTTATTTCTATGTGCCATGTTATTCTTGAAACTTAAGTGGCTACCAGAAAGAAAAGAATTAGGGAAGTTTTGAACATATCTTGTACTTTTTTTCATCAAGGCTAAAGTGCAAAATATCTCTGTATTTCTGGTATTTTAACAGGGAATAACATCAAACACACGTAAAAAAGGAACTGAAGTGACAGTAGAACTAATACAAAAAAAAAAAAAAACCACTTTAAATACACACTTGAAGACTATGTAAGACCAATTTAATTTTTTCCTTTCTTCAGTGAATCTGTAATGAGCCAAGTTCTCACAGAACTTGGGATTTTGTTTGATTCTGTTTCCCAGGACCAGACAATTCAAAATTAGAGGGGAAAAAAAAATATGGAAAAAATAACATTGCATGACAATGGACACTAAGTTCATAAAGAACTTTTTTAAAATGAGATATTATGGAAGAAAATACCATGAAAATAATAATCCTATGAGAATTGTTTTTTAAGCACAGTAAATTTGAGCCTTGGTCTTCATGAAGATACTACAGCTTATATAGAAAACTATAAATATACAAGACTCCAGGAAAAAAAGTCAAAATACATTATTATTTAACATTCTATAGGCCTAGAAAACTTTTCAGGGGGGAGAAAAGGATGGCCAATTGATTCTTAAGAATACAGAACTATGAAAAATTCCTGGGTCAAAAAGGGTGCTCCAAATGGAACCATACTTGGTGAAAACATATAACCTAGATACACTTTTAAAAAGGAAAAAAAAGTACTGAATAATTGCAGTCCCTTCCGAAAAGGAAATCTTAAATTAAGGGGAAATGAGTTTAATAGTGTAAACAAGTCTGGCTCAGAAAGAAAACGGAACAACATATCCAAGATTCTGTCCATAAAAGTAAAGACGATACATCTTTAATATTAAAGAAATAGGCTATAAAAAAGTTCACTCTCAGAATTGGTTTTAGGAAAAGCTTATTTGTGCTCCTTTGTGGGTGCATAATAAAGTTCCATGGGTTTGTTCACTTTCCAGTATTTCTCACTGACCAATTCCAAAGAAAAAGAGCCATTTAATACCTAAAATAAAAAAAAAAAGGAAAGAATTGTGAAAATGTTCAAAGTACAGCAACAGTGAGATGGAACATAAAAATCTTTTTTAGAAAAAAATCTTAGAATAAACTTGTTACTTACAGTGTTCATAAAAGAAAAAAAGAATATGAAAAAGTTAACTGCCCTGGGCCTCCCGGGTGGCGCAGCGGCTTGACGCAGCGCTGTGAAGCTGTCCGCAGCCTCTGCAGGGTGGGTTCGATCCCAGCTGGCAGGGGAGATACCCACATGGTGCAATAGACCTCTCCTGTCATGCCCACTGCTCCCCTCAGCAGTGCATTTCATCACTCTGCCTGTTCTGTTCCCCGCTCTGTCTCTGGTGGATCCTCTCACCCTCCTGCATATCTGGCCTGTACCCTGGTTCTTGTGTGCATGAATAAATAAATCTTTGGAAAAAAAAAAAAAAGTTAACTGCCCTGCCGTTCTTTCTCTCTCTCAGGGTCCAATACCGTCTTGTTAGGCCCCACCCTCACATGCCACTCTCAGATGGTCACCTTGCTTCCACAGTGTCAACAGTCTATTTTTTAAATACTCACAGTGAACTGGCCGCTGGCTGTTGCTATGTAAATGGTATACTGCTTCTCACTGGCTGTGTCGAGGTTCATCTGATTTGATTCTCCTTTGCTTCGAAGTTCTTCTAAAGCTAACCTCACAGCCAGATACTTGGATAAGTGATCAACAGTGGCGTTACCTGAAGTCTTTATGTATCTGGAAAAAGAAACCATGAAAAAATTAATTTCTAAATAAATGAAAAATTCCACTTACATTACAGAATATATTTCTAAAAGCAATACAAAGGGCCTCCCTGGCAGTGCAAGGGGTTAAATCGCAGCACTATGAAGGTATCAGCAGCCACAGCAGCACAAGTTGGATCCCCAGCCAGGGAGATGACCCACATGGCACAGTGGACCTCTCCTATCTGGCCCGCTGCTCCCCTTAGCAGTGTATTTCAGTTCATCTGCCTGTTCTGTTCCCCACTTTGTCTCTGGTGAATCCTCTCACCCCCCACACCTTTGGCCTACACCCCAGCTCTTATATGCATAAATGAAAAAAATCTTAAAAAAAATAGTAATAAAATAAAGGCCATACAAAATGTAAACGTCCCAATTATAGATGAAATGCCAAAAGTTTACTTCCCTGTTACCTAAAAATGTATTATTGAAAAGCTACAGAAGGAAAAGTATATACTGTCTACTGGGAAACAAAAGCTCGCTCTATCTTACCTCTCAAAATGAGAAAAAATTTAAAAAATCAAACAAATATACATAGTACTTACTAAAAGGGGGTTGGGGGAAGAACATACTCCTCAGCCCTAATGATCAAAGTTCTGCTGTCTATTTCAGCAAAAATAGTACAAATATGCACAATTTCTTTCTAAAAATTTTCTGAGCATAAAAGTAAAAATCTCAGAATTTTTTAGAAAGTATGGCTCACCATAATTCAACCATTTGCCCAATAAGTATTTGGTGTTTATGAGTACTCAGTGGCAAGCAGTGTGCAGGGTGGAGTAAAGCAGTCATCCTTGCCAGCATGAATTTTAGAGCCTAATATTGCTGTTAAGAAACTTATTTTTTATTGAGGTAACTAAAACTGGTTTACAACACTGCACAAGTGATCATTTTCCCTTTTTATTTAGTTAGGAAGGTAATTCCTTTCAGCTATGTGACCATGAGTATGAAGGAAGAAAACAATCTGGGCAGCCAGAATATCCAAATGAAGCCTAGCAATCAACAGAATGACAAATATTGTGCTTATTTCTTATGCAAAGTTGACTTTTAACTTTGAATTAAACACAAATTCAGATCATCTAAAACTAACCCACACATTACCTTGTCTGCGCACTGTCATCTTTTTCCATAAGTGTGGGATGAGGCCTGAATACTAATTCAATTTCACTAGCACCATCCATTACTGGATCAATTGCCACTGTTGCATTGTTGTTATCAAGCTCAAGCCCAGAATCATCAGATGTTTTGGTCCGTTTGTTACTAGGTCCTGCTTCTTGATTGCTGTGTGTGGAGGCATTACTACAGTGCGAACTGTCACCATTGTCTTCTGCTCCACTACCATTTTCAATCTGTTGTTTCTTGCCACGCTGTAATCTATTTAGGGGTATGGGAGGGTAGGAAGCATTGTATAAAATTTACATTCAGGCTTTTTCAATGCATCAGTTTTAAAACATGTTCACTGACCTTTAGAATTCTAAAAGTATCTCGTTAACTGAATTTGCTCCAAGTTGCATGACAGCATTGACTTCCAAAAGGTCTAGAGAATCTCACTCACACACACAAAAATTTGAATGATTTAAACAAGTATTTATATTCACTTAGTAATTTTCTTTATTAGACAAAAAGAAAAGATTATCAGAATTACTAGCCAAGCTTTATTTGTATTTTGATAGTTTTGTTGAAATTTTAAATCTAAAGGAAAGCATAACCATATATGAAAATTTAAAATTTCTGAAGGATATTTATGTCTCTTATATTAGAAATTCTAAAGGAAACAAGATTTAAGAATGATGAGCATTCTTTCCCTACAGACCTCATGCAAAGTCTGATAATACAATGCAAAATTATTTTAATAAAGAAAATGTTACCTAAATGAATATAGAAGTAGCTCTCTAACAACCTCAAATACTAATAAAACCAGTAATTACAAGTATTTTGTGTAAACATCTCATTTACTTACTAAATGAGTAAACAACTGTCAGGGGAGTTTCACTTCAATTAAGGAAACCAAAGAAACTGTGGGTTGAGTCCCATGGTTGGTTATAAGTTAGTAAGTTCCAGAGCTAGATGGGGCTAGGATATAAATCCTTCTACATTCTCTTTACTATACTACCACTTTTTCTACATGTATATGCAAGGAAAGAAGATATGACGAAGAGGAAATATAAAAGAATGACATGCACTTCTACGAATGGTGTCATTATCACCTATTTATTGGCAGAAAAAGGAAGTAACAAGTCACTGCTTAGGAGACATGCTACACACATACACACACATCCCTCCACAGCTTATAGATCGAATCAAAACTAAGAGGGGATAATTAATATATGTTAAATAACAAAATGATGACTCAAAAGATGTAAGCACATACCACGATCTATCACTCGGTCTTAAAAAAGAACTCCTCGTACACGTGCTACAATACATTATGCCAAGTACGAAATGTCAAATACTATATTGATTATACTTAAATGAGGTAACAGTCAAATCATAGGAAAGGAGAATAGAATAGCAGTCAGCGTGAATTGAGGGAAAGACAAGAAAATAGGGAAATCATTAGTGTGTATAATGTCAGTTTTATAAGATGAAGAGTTCTGAAAATTGATCAAACAGCAATATGAATGTACTCACTTACTGAACTGATAAAAAATGGTTAAGATGGTAATTTGTACAATGTTTTTCATCACAATTCAAAAAAAAAAAAAATGTGAATAGGCCAAACTAATGAAACAAAAAAAAAACCAACCAAAAGTAAAAATATAAATACTATATTTAAATATGTATATATCTAAATATTGTTTCAGATGAATATAAAGTAACAGAGTTAACTTGTCTTAATGTATTTATTTTTATCCCCCAGTTTCCTAAAATGGTTAGAGATGACAAAGCTAGATTAATTCATGTAGCATTCATATAACAACGTTCAGATAATGGACATCAACAGTCTCAGATAGCCTGCATTTATCAAATCATGTCTATAACTCTAATACTGTTCATGAATTACATCAACAAACTAGAATTCATATGAGGAATAATAACGGAATTAGGAAAGTGACTATTTAGGCCTTTAGAGAAACATGAGAATGTGTATCTGGATAAAATTATTTGAAGAATGAGTAGACAGATGTAGAATAATTGTAGAATCCAACTGTAAGTATTTCAAAAAGAGCAGGATGTTATTCAGAACATTAATTTTAAGTCAATATTAAGGAAGAATTTTTTTTTTAATTCATGCATTCTAAAAATATTTACTGAGCATCTACTGCAAACCAAGCATGGTTATATGTACTGGTGTTAAAATACTGACACAGTATTTACCCTCCTAGGGTTTATATTATTCTAGTGAAGCAGATAACGAATATCAGAGAATGGCAAGTGCTGTGAAGAATATGAGGCAGGAAGGGTAAGCCAATATGAAGCCTTGGGATCTATAGAAGACAGGAGCTTAGCAGGTAACTGAAAAAATAAGAACATATGTCATGCCAATAATCAGCAAGAAGAGAGCTGGTAGGGGCCTCCCTGGTGGTGCAGAGGTTAAAGTCTCAGCACTATCAAGCTATTGCAAGCCACTGAGGCATGAGTTCAGGTTCCCACCAGGGAGTTAACCCACGTGGAGTGGCAGATCTCTCCTGTCTTGCCAGCTGCTTGCTCCCCTCAGCAGTGTATCTCAGTAGATCCACCTGTTCTGCTCCCCAGTGTCTCTGGTGAATCCTTTCAACCCCCACACTTCTGGCCTATACCCCAGTTCTTGTGTGCATAAATAAATAAAAACAAATCTTTTTTTTTTTAAAGGAGCTCCTAATGGAGCAGAAAGCACAAAGGTCCTAAAGCAGAAGCAACCTTCGTGAGTGCAAAGAACAGTAAGGAAGCTGTAATGTTATAAACAAAAGAAAGGATCTCCCACCACTAAAAATGTTCCAGCAAAACCAAAGGACCAGATTTTGCAAAGAGGATTCTTTCTCCTGGTAAAAGATTAAGTTGAAAAACCATTAAGTCCTTCCAACTCTTAGGAATATATAAGTCTTAAAATAAACACAGTCAACATTTAACATTTTACTTTGCTAAGTGGAGTTGTAGGACAGTTTAACGTAGTTAGAAGAGAGCGTATCTTTTAACCTTTAAGCTGGTGGTTACAGTTTGCACTTTGGAACCACTTCTACAACCTTAAATACACCTGAAACCCAAAGGTTGATTTGCATGGTCTGGGATGATACCTGAGGCTAGTGATTTAAAAGCTTTCCAAGTGACTCTGAATTTAAACCAAGGTGAAAACGAGTTGAGATGGGTCTTTACTGGTATCCCCTAATTTGGAAAATGACACCTCTCCCTGAGGTTTAAATGTATTAGGAGATGTCAGAGAGGAAAAAAGAACAGGGTGAGGAAAGTGCTCAATTTAAATAAGGTCTTAGAAACAATCATTAAATTCTTTTCACCTTAATGTGAATAGAAGCTACTAGAGGTTTTGGAGAAAGTATGACCCAAAATCAGACTTCTGATTTAACAGAATCACTCTGGTTGCTATGTTGTGAATGGACTATGTGGGGGTAAGCACAAAAAAATAGTAAGACCAATCAGAAGGCCCTATCAATATGTCACGGAAAAGATGGTGATGGCCTAATACATGAGTACATTATGGAAAAAGCTAAAAATATTTCTTTACTCACAGACTGAAACATAGAGAGGGAGACAAAAGAGAGATGTTAAAGGTAATTCCAGGGCCTCCCCAGTGGCGCAGCAGTTGAGCGCTGGGCTGCGAAGCTGCCTGCAGCCTCTGCAGGGCCGGTATGATCCTCAGCCCCTGGCAAGGGTCCTACATGGCGCGTAGACCTCTCCTGCCGCACCCGCTGCTCCCCTCAGCAGCGTACTTCGTCGGTCTGCCTGTTCTGCTCCCTGCTCCAGCTCTGGTGAATTCTCTCACCCTCCCGCACTTCTGACTGTACCCAGTGCTTGTATAAATAAATAAATAAATCTTTATTTTAAAAAAAAAAAAAAAAAGGTAATTCCAAAGTTTTTGACTTATCAAGTAGGAAGGAACTGCCATCAGCTAAAATGATCGCGATTGAGGAGAATAAAAAGTTTAGTACTGTGCATATTAAATTTGAGATAAAGAACATACAAATAAAAGATGGTTTTGGAGCAAAGAGAACCAGGAGAATATGGTCCCCTTGAAGCCAGATGAAGAAAACTATTCAAAGAGATAAACTGTTAAATGCTGCTAAGGAAGCTGGGGTCTAAGAATCAGCGATTAGATTTCACAATGTGCAAGTCACCCATGATTTGAAAAAGTTGATAAGGCACTGAGGGTAGAAGCCAGGAGTGGAAGGCTGACTAGCAGGTTCAAAAAGACATGGGAGAACTGGAGACACTGAGCACAGGCAACTCTTTCAAGGAGTTTTGCTCTAAAGAGAAAAGGAGAAACAGAATGGTAAATGGAGGAAGAGTAGATAAAAGAGTCTAGCATAACCAGCCTAGCATTTTAAACGCAATACCCTGTTACGTCTGGAGGCATATACCTACATGTAGAATTACCATCTGCACTACATTTTAAACTTTTCACAATGGAAGCTGTTAAGTAAAGCCAAAATTTAATTAAGTATTCAGAAAAAACAGCCTTCTCCTCTGGCCACATACCTGTTCATAGCCTGTATCTTCAGTCCCTCCTCAATGCTGTGACTGAGTGCTTGCTGATTATTGTGCTTATTAATCCTGGCTAATACTCTCTCTTGATGAGCTTCATACTCATCACGACTTGGATAGATTTTGCTGATGAGTGCATCAAAGTTTGGGTCTGGCCTTAGTGATCTTTTGGAAACTAGCTTTTTCCGACAGGTAGGACATTCTTTATTGCTAAATACAAAGAGGAAGAAAAAATGTAAATAATGCGAGTATCTAATACAGAACCTTTCTGTATTCAAATAACTTGAGTAAGTCAGAGATTTAAATTTATTAACTTGGATGTTCTTGAAAATCTGACTTGTGAGTCAAGATTTTGAAAACTTTAGGCACTCTATACTTACCAAAATAGAAAAATTAGACCACTTCCCAATGACAATTTATATATAACCATATTAGAAATAAAAATAACTAAAAGCTAGGCTTTAGAAATATTTCCAGTTCCCAGATGAGTACATATAGAAAATCTATTTATCAAAACCCACAGAGCACTGTTCTGATACACTTTATCTAAAATAACTCATTTCCACATACCCACTTCTGAGGGCTGTGATAATGCAGTCTGCACAAAAACGATGCAAACACTCCTTTGTAGTCATCGTGTTCTTCAACATATCCAAACAAATTGGGCACATTAACTCACTGTGTAGACTTCGAGGTGAAACCACAATTTCCAAGCCATCTGTTATTGCCTCCTGTAAAAAAGTCACCTTAAAGTTAATTATAAACAAGTTCAAACATAACAAAAGTATTGAAAATGATAAAAATGAGTATATATGTTCTTTTCTTTTTTTAAAGATTTATTTATTTATGCATACAAGAGCTGGGGTACAGGCCAAAGATGTCGGGGGTGAGAGGATCCAGAGACAGAGACAGAGTGGGGAACAGAACAGGCAGAAACACAGTGCTGTTTCAGTCAGAAACACACTGCTGAGAGTAGCAGCGGGCGAGACAGGAGAGGTCTGCTTTGCCATGTGGGTTGTTCCCTGGCCGGCCGGAATCGAACTCATGCTGCAGAGGCTGCAGATTGCTTCATAGTGCGGTACTTAACCCCCTTGTGCCACCAGGAAGGCCTATGTTCTTAGAATCCAAACATCACCACTGCCTACTCACAGCTAATCTTATTTTAATTATAATCACATCTAACTCCCCTCAGTCTCACCACCAGTGCACTACAGAAATGTTTTAACTTTAGTGCCCAAAATAACAAATTAACATACATAAAAGATAACTAATGGTAAATAATAAGCCTGGTATAATTAAAAAGCATTAAATTTGGAATGAGATGTTTTGGTTCTAGTTCCAGCTGTAATAACTAATTATGTGAATTAATTATTTGTTTCCTTATCTGCAAAATGAAGTTAGGAGTAAATAAAAGATTTTAAGATTCCAATACAAATATTCTCTAATTTACATACAGTTTAACAGAATTTCATTTTAAAATTACTTCTTGAACCTTAAAAAAGTCCTGGTCCACAGAAGCAGTTTCATACAAAGTGGTCTGATTCTCAGGCTAACCTACAAACCAATGTAAATCATAATACATCTAAAATGTAACACATATTACCATTTCTAATTGTCATGTTGGAAATAAAATACCATGATGCATTTTGAGCTCCCATGCAGAACTCTAGCACAAGTCTCCCAATGCAGCATACAGTGACTCCCCTCTTCATCACCACCACCAATCACCCTTCCCAAAGGTGGCACTAATCTTTTTTAGATTACCTAGCTCTAAAACCACCACTACTGCTTCTTATGAATTGGAAAAAAGGTCTAGTGGATAATCACTGAAAAAGTAAGATGCAGAGAGAAATAAGGGCTTCCCATATGCTACTGACATTTCCTGTCTCCTGTGGCTCTCGAACATATTTGTGTTTTCTCCATAAGGCCCAAGATGTGACTCCAGAGGAAAGATGGAGAAACTAAAGATACTGTCCAAAAAGAACTCAAAATAGGGCCTCCCTGGTGGCGCAAGGGGTTCAGATGCAACCTGTGAAGCTTGCCGCAGCCACTGCAGCATGAGTTCGATCCCCAGCCAGGGAGGTGACCCACATGGTGCAGCAGACCTCTCCTGACTCGCCCGCTCCTCCCCTCAACACTGTGTTTCAGTCATTCTTCTTGTTCTGTTCCCCAGTCTGTCTCTGGTGAAATACTCTCACCCCCCACACCTCTGGCCTGTACCCCAGTTCTTGTATGCATAAATAAGTAAATTTTTAATTAAAAAAAACTCAAAATATATTTACATTTACAGTAACTACGATTATGGAGTATCTATCATGTTTCAACCTCTATAAAAGCACTTTCTATATTTTATTTTAATTTTGTACACACTTTTGATTAGGAAGTATAATCTCTACTTTATAGCTGAAAAAACTACAGAGAATATGATGATGACTCAACTATGTAATGAAGTCTGTTTTTTCCTTTTCAGAACTTGCCTAGAAAAATCCCAACCCTGGATAAACTCAATAGTCCACGTTCTCCACGCCTGTACCCGTGTAGGTGTTAGCACTGTTGGAGAAAGAGAAGAACCAGAATGGTAACACTAAAACTTCCCCCAGCCTTAAGCAAGTGTTCAACACTGCTTAGCAACTGGTTTTCTCTAACAAACTCGTCTTACCTCTCACACTACACTATTTTATGTCTTTCGATCTCTCTGCAGACTTTTCTCCACCCGAATATTCAACAGATTACCTTACTTCAAATTTCCTGAGAGCTTTCTCACTTTCTCTCTACCAAGTCTTTATAAACAATTTCCTCTTTTTATCAAAGGTACATACCTTCCTACCTTCTCAAGTTAGTCCCTCTGATTATCTTATTTATTCTCAAACTTCAGCCATCTCCCCACTAATTGGTTTAGATTAGTAACTTCATAGTTGAATACTGAAATGTGAATGGTGCACTTTAGCAGCTGTACATTGTCAGATATAACATGGCTACAAACCAAGAAGTGAGTTGTATGGTTGCATACCAATGAGTGAGTAAAGGGGTCAAAAGTCATGGGGACCCCCCCCCCAGGTCCATTCTGCTTCATGGTTAACATCTGACAAGATTCCTACCAGAAACTAAGTTGCATACCAGGAAACTGAGCAAAGGGTCATTACTAAGATCCCCAGGCTGCTTATCTCAGGTCACGATGCTTCAGTAACCCAGTATACACAATTTTTGGGGCCTCCCTGGTGGCGCAAGGGGTTAAGTCTCAGCACAATGAAGCTAATGGCAGTCACTGCAGCACCAGTTCAATCCCCAGTCAGGGATTTACCCACATGGTGCAGCAGACCTCTCCTGTCTCGACAGCTGCTCCCCTCAGGAGTGTATTTCAGTAGATCTGCCTGTTCTGCTCCCCACTCTGTCTCTTGTGAATCCTCACACTGCCCTTCTACACCTCTGGCCTACACCCCAGCTCTTGTATGCATAAATAAACAAATCTTTTAAAAAAAGAAAACTTTTGTAATTCTCATCTCAGTCAACCTCTCAGCAGTGTACACGGTAATTATATCCTCATTCTTAAAATGCTTTTCTTAGATTTTCATCTCTCTCCATTTCCCTTTTTTTGTCTTTACCACTCACTGCTCTTTCTCAGTCTCCTTTTGCAGTCTCCTGTTTACTACTTAACTTCTAATTGTTGATGCTCCTCTGGAATATGTTCTGGGCCCTCTGCTCATCTCACTATAGGTGACCTTATACATTTCCACTACTTAAAATGTACTAACAACCCCTAGAATTTCTTATTTAGTCTAGGCCCTTGGTTAGCATCTCTGACTGTCTTAAAGGCATATCAAACTAAGAGTTCGGTTTTGAGCAAGTTCATCTCCTCAAACCTATTCCTCCTCCAGTCTTTCTGATCTTTAAGTAATTGAACAGTCTTCCCTAGTCCCTCAACCCCATACTATTTATTATAGCACTGAAGTCTTCAACTTTATACAACTTCTCAAATTCTAAAGATATTTATCTGCTTAATGTCTATAAACTTCAGGGGCTGGTGCCACACATACTTTATTCACCTTTGTTCACCTACTGACTAACTTGGCAGCAGGTAGAATATGTACTCAAATTATTTGTTGGTATTCATTTATTTATACAAGAACCGGGGTACAGGCCTGATGCGCGGGAGGGTGAGAGGATTCACCAGAGACAGAGTGGGGAACAGAACAGGCAGACCAACGAAATACACTGCTGAGGAGAGCATCAGGCGAGACAGGAGAGGTCTGCTGCACCATGTGGGATTCTCGCCAGCTGGCCAGGATTGAACCTGCACTGCAGAGGCTGTGGACAGCTTCACAGTGTGGCGCTCAACCGCCTGCGCCACCAGGAGGCCCATCAAGTTTTCATTTTCTAAAACTTGTATCCCAGCTTATGTAGGTCTCATACTTCCCCTTAAGTTATCTCAGTCCACATTACCTGAGGTGTTCGCTGTAATTCATATAAACTGAGTTCCCATGTTTTGCTTAATGGCTGTGTTCCATTTGTCTGCACAGCTTGCGACATTGCTAGAAATGAAAAAAAAAAGAGTAAAAACAATTTTAGTATTTGAAAAGGAAGTAAATTTCAAACTTGATTTTTATAAGTATTGATTCCCAAGCGTTAAAAAATAGAAATTACAGTGGTTCCTCAAAAAAAAATTAAAAGAAACCAAGCTCAAGAATCTATCTACTTATAAATATTAGATATTTGAGAGCAAGAGACTATCGCTTATTTTTGAATGCACAACAACTGGCACACAGGAAGTGTTGTTTTTTTTTTAAAGATTTATTTATTTATACAAGCACTGGGTACAGTCAGAAGCACGGGAGGGTGAGAGAATTCACCAGAGCCAGAGGGGAGAGCAGCGCAGGCAGACTGACGAAGTACACAGCTAAGAGGAGCAGCGGGTGGCAGAAGGGGTCTGTGCGCCATGTGGGACTCTCGCCCAGCAGCCAGGGATCGAACTAGCGCTGCAGAGGCTGCGGGCAGCTTCGCAGCCCAGCACTCAACCACTGCGCCACCAAGGGAGGCCCCACAGGAAGTGTTTAATTATGAAATGAACGTATAGAAAAATGTCTTCACCCAAAACAAAAAATGTTTCTGAAATTCACGGTCATAGAACTTAGAATTAAACCCAGAAAATTTCAGGCTCTTCAGCATGGCCTAATTAGTTCAACTTTTGCCCAAGATACAAAGTTCACTTTAAACCATCAGTCATTGTGCCATTCTGCCTCTGCTTTCACAGAGCTACTCATGAAAAATTCCCTACTTAGTAAAACTCAGCTTATAACATTCAGAAAGCTCACATTGCTGAGTCCCAAACTACTCATCCTACAATTGCCTTCTGGAAGCAAACTGATTAGTTTAATAATTTTTCTACATGACAGCACTCCATTTATTTGGACACCATTAAGGTATCCCACATGATTTTTTCTTTTGGCTAAAATACTGTAGGTCCTTCTGTTCTTCACCATTTGACACAATTTCAAGGTCACCATACCACCCTAGCTCATTAAATTCTGCCTTTCCTCTTCTGCTTTCTTTTTATCCTCTTCTGTCTTTGATAAGGTGGATGGGGTCTAGTAAACAAATGAGGAAGATGTTATTAAAAAACTAGCTGCTGTAGGTTCTTGTTACAGGTTCATAGCCTAAAAAGAAATGCATATACAAGTGATAGTACAATTTGACAAACATTAAATAACAATAGAGAAAAATATCTGGAATACTGAGGAGTTCCCAGGAAAGGAACAGGAATTTTAGAAGTTCAGCAGAGTTAAATTAAATAAGCTTTAAAAAAGAAGAGATTACTATACGAGAACTCATACAATAGTGTAGAAGGTAGAGGAATGGAAAACAACTAGCGGTAAGACCAGTGAGCAGCTATTGCAAAAACCTTAATTATATTAACTATCTGAACCAAAGCAGGTGAGTATGGAGAGTAAGATAGAATTAGATAAACAGACCATTGAGTGATACATAGAGCATAAGGGTCAAATATATCTTTGGGAAAGCAGTCATTCTTTAACTGAAATAGAAAACAAAGAAGAAAGGGGTGGATTAGAAGTAGAGGTGGTACACACACTGAATTCATTTTTTTTTATAGACCACTGAAATAGAGTGGTCAAGCAAACAATGAGAAAGGAAAATCCAACTCCTACCTAAAGACACAATCTACACTTGTGTAAGTCATACTTTCTACACCAAGAAATAGAAATAAAGGAAACAGATCTATTTGTATTCAAGAAGGTGAATTTCCCACACTCAGCTAAAATCATTGAAACAAATTTGTTCTCAAGAACTGGTCAAATTTGCTTTGATTAGTAAAAGCACTCACTGAAAGTTAAATTCGACCCCTCTCTAAAATTCAATATATCTGTCTCCTCCTTTAACAAATGTTACATTTCCACATGAAGTTTCTCCCTTTACCCAGACAGAAAATTAAATAAATATGTACAAACTTACCAGATTTGAGTGCTTTTTGTATAAAATTTTGAGGTTGTCCCCTACCTTAAGGACTTACTTTTGCTTATTTGACCTAGTGGACTCACAAACAAGCAAGTATTCTTCAAGCTCTTTGTGCTTGAAAAAAAATCATCTTTCCGCTCCATCATGATCACTCAACAATGACCCTAGCAGTAATCAAAAATCTGAGCAATTTTTCACAGAGCTCTTGCTACTAAACTTTATTAATCCTAAAATTAGTACTTTGGTTTTTGGGAGAAACCCTGAGAGCTTTGACTCCATTCTCTGAGAATCATAAATTGAAAAAAAATTGTGATAGAAATTTCTCTTTAGTGAAATGCTGTCTTCAACATTTACCAGGATTGAATGATGGTACAAACTACAAATTACTGTCTAGTCAACCTTTAGAAGTTAATGGATATAAAAGTCGCATTAGACCAGTGCCTGCTCTCAGAAACAACAAACTGTAGTGACACTCTTAAAAATCTTCATGAGGAAATTCTCTCAGAGACTACTTTAACGTAGGAGGCCTTTTCTCCTCATCTCTCTATTCTGGTAGTAAAAGTTAACATGAAATTTGCAATGCACACACTATCCTATCCTAGTGGACTAGTATACTGAAAGGGTTTCTCTGTATCTACACTGCAAATCTCTCCTGCCAGAACTCCTACTCTGACTAGGCTAGATAGGCAAAATTTCACCAATGGTGATTTATAATTACCTCAGCTATTACTGGGAATTTTGGAAAGACAAATATAACATCTAACCTAAGCTCCTGGAAAGGAGAAAATGTCCCAAATATATAATGGCCAGCCTTTCTGACTGGTATGTGGAAGCCTCAAAACAAAATTCTGACTTCAAAATAACATCCCATAAAGATTCTCTGGCAAAAATAATAATAATAATAAAAATCACTCAAATGATCTGAGAAACTTGGCCTTGCCATATACCAAAACAATCCTGTTTTAGCATCAACATTTCATTTCTATTCTTTGGTCCCATCTCTCTCCTTCCTTTAAAATTCTAAATGAACTGCCCTTTCTTAATGGTCCCCTCCAAGAAAACAACCAATGCCCCAATATCTGCTTAAAAAAAAAAAAAAAAAAAAAAAGACCCTCAGCCTCTAAATATGCAGGACCAATTTATAAAGACACTGACAAATACACAACCATAAAAATAACTGGGACCTCCCCTGGTGGCACAGGCGGTTGAGCACCGTGCTGTGAAGCTGTCCGCAGCCTCTGCAGCGCCAGTTCAATCCCAGCCAGCAAGGGTCCCACATGATGCAGCAGACCTCTCCTGTCGCACCCGCTGCTCCCCTCAGCAGTGTATTTCGTCAGTCTGCCTGTTCTGTTCCCCGCTCTGTCTCTGGTGAATCCTCTCACCCTCCCACGCATCTGGCCTGTACCCCGGTTCTTGTATAAATAAAAATTCTTTTAAAAAAATAAATAACTGGAAGAGATACCGTTCCATATTAGCAAATATAAGGGATGTGTGTGTGTGTGTCTGTGTATGTAAAGAACAATATCCTAATCATACTGCTCTAAAGATGACTCTGGAATCTAATTTCTTGTCACTGAATTCAAGGTGAACTACCTATAAATATGGGCAGTCAACTTATAGATACATATGCTGTTATTTCTAACATAAATCCTACTACAATATAATGAATCTCTCAAAGAACTGAAACTACTCAAACAGAAGGAATTTCTAGAATGACAAACCCTAACCCATGCCCAAACTTATATCTATTACCCTGGGGCCAACTATAAACAAAATACGTAAATTCTTCAGTCTGTAGCTTACCCCAATAAATTAATAGGAAATGCCCAACAAAATATCCTATTGAAGGCTTGTTTCCAGAGATACAAATTCTCCTGCACATAACCACATTATATCTGATTTGAATACTTATGTTCCTGTGGGAAATAAGATTCAAGGAAGTAATTCAGAAGATAGTTGAGGTTGTAAAGTTTCCTAGTATCATTTAGAAAAACTAGGATATCCATGACTCTGAACACATGTTCCAGTCTCTGTTTTTATCTGTATTACAATCATATGTTCCCTGATATCTGGAGTCTTAAATGCTACCACATGGATGCTATTTAACCAGATAATTGAGCAGGTAATGCTAAAACCAAAAAACTAAAAGACAATCTTACTGATCACCGAACCACCATCTCCATTTTTAATAAGTAGACCTGAAAATATTTATCCTCTGACCTGGCCAAGGAGGCCAAAAGGGGATCTGAGAACGAAAAATTGCATTTTTTACCTCAAGATAAAAAATTGCATTTTTTACCTCATAGATATGGTTATATTATCCAAATATAACCATAAAGTTGTAAATGCTACTCTGGCCTGAAGGACCAGACATGATCCACAGGTAAACAGGAAGCTCAAATTTCTACTTTTTGTCAATCACTGAATAGATAAGCTCTCCAGAATTAGTACCTGTTTTAGGTCAATACACCATTTTGCTTACATTTAACCTAAATTCTACTTCCCCTGCCCCCAATAATTTATATCCCTTTCTGCTCTTTCCTTTAGAAAGGAGAGGTTGTAATTCTACATGTAGCGCCCCCTTGCTCAGGCCAGGAATGTGAAAAACAACAAGCTATTTTTCAGACAGGAGTGAACTGTGATTGATAAATAATACTGACAGTCATCTCTGTATGAATATTAATGCATAGACAAAGCAAAGAAAGCGGAAAGGAAAAAGAATTGGTGGTCTAGATGATAACTATAATCTGAAAGGTTAGACAGTAAAGAAGATAGTAGAAAGTGGGAAATGAGGTGTCAGGCAAAGTAATCTTAAGCAGTCAAAGTAATCTTTTTGCAATTGACAAGAATGTTCTCTGCCTGAAGATCCTCGCAGCATAATACAAGATCTATATCTATGTGGGGACCAATCCCCAGTTTCAACGCCTAAACTATACTTCTAAGAGATACCCAACAAAACAGATGTTTCTTGCACAAAGCAGGCACTCAAATATGTCTGGAGAATGTACACATGAAAAGTTATCATTAGTCTGGACAAGATTAATTTAGTAGCAGAAACAGA